CACACAGACTTACTGCAGGCAAAACCCCAATGCATATCTAATAAAATTTTTTTTTGTTTTTTCGAGACAGGGTTTCTCTGAATAAAAACAAAATTTTAAAGCTTGATAGTGGTGGCACACATCTTTAATCCCAGCACTCGGGAGGCAGAGGCTGGCAGATCTCTATGAATTCGAGAACACTCTTGATGTACAAAGCAAGTTCCAGGACAGCCAAGGCCACACAGAGAAACAAAGTCTCAAAAAATCAAAAGAAAGCAAAACAAAAATGGGGACCAAGCCTTCCTCCAGGCACTGCCAAGAGTATACTAAGTCAGGCAATGTGTTATTGAAGATCCAGGAAGGATCATATTCAGGCACATAAAATGACCCTGAGGTCAGCCAACTGCTTTCCTCCCTGCAGCAATCACCAGGCTGCACCACCGCAGGACAACATGCGGTGGCACTGTGTACTGTCCTCACATGCAAGCAAGCTTCGGCTGCTTCCTCTTCGCCGGTACCCAGCAGGGCAGGCTCAGGCTTCCTCTTCCCAGGAATAGCTCGAGATCAACAGGAAATTCCCACAGGCGGGCTGCCGCTGCTGACCTTATTCTCATAAACAAGAGCATGACTGTGCCACAAGCCAGGCATTTCCCACTTCCCCCACACCGCCGAGGCTGGGCTAGGGTAGGGGCTGAGGCTGGCATGTTCTGCCTTATGTTTGCCCCTGGCCCGGGAAAGGGCTGCTCTGCAGTTGGCAGCTCCGAGGACACCTGACTTTTGTGAGGCAGGCACACAGGCAAAGAGAGGGAGTAGATGTGGAAGGTAGCCTGTGACTTTGTTTGGGAGACTTTTTTTGTTTTGTTTTTCGAAACAGGGTTTCTCTGTATTGCTTTGGAGGCTGTCCTGGAACTCACTCTGTAGACCAGGCTGGCCTTGAACTCACAGAGACCCGTCTGCCTCTGCCTCCCAAGTGCTGGGATTAAAGGCATGCACTATCAATGCCCAACCCGGGAGACATTTTTTATTTTGTTTTGTTTTTGGAAACAGGGTTTCTCTGTGTAGCCTAGGTTGTCCTGGAGCTCACTCTGTAGACCAGGCTGGCCTTGAACTCAAGGATCCACCTGTCTCTGTCTCCTGAGTGCTGGGATTCATGTCTGGCTTGGGAGACTTTTTAAGATTTATTTGTGAATGTATGTGTGTGCAGTAGCCTGCATGACTGATATGTACACAGGTCCTGTAGAGACCAAAAGAGGATGTCAGATGCCCTGGAGCTGAAGTTACAGGCCATATGACATGGGTACTGGGAACTGAACTCAGGTACCACAAGAGCAGTGCAAGATCTTTACCACGGAGCAATCTTGCCTGCTGTGGAATATTACTTTAACTATGTAAAGGTGTGTTACGTTTGTGTCGGGCAGTGGTGTGCACACCTTTAATCCCAGCACTTGGGAGGCAGAGGCAGGTGGATCTCTGTGAGTTCGAGACCAGCCTGGTCTACAAGAGCTAGTTCCAGGACAGGCTCCAAAGCCACAGAGAAACCCTGTCTGGAAAAAGCAGTGTGTTGTGTTGTATTTGTTTATGTTGTTTAACCATGTAAAGATGTGCTGCATTCACTTGGGAGGCAGAGGCAGGCGGATCTCTGTGAGTTCAAGACCAGCCTGGTCTACAAGAGCTAGTTCCAGGACAGCCTCTAAAGCCAAAGAGAAACCCTGTCTCGAAAAACCAACCAAATAAATAAATAAATAAATAAATAAATAAATAAATAAATAAAAGATGTGCTGCATTTTTTTCACCTAAGGCTCTGATTGGTCTAATAAAAAACTGAATGGCCAATAGCTAGGCAACAGAGGGATGGGTGGAGCTGACAGGCAAGGAGAATAAGTAGAGGAGGATTCTAGGCTTGAGGGAGAAAAAAGAAAAAGGGAGAAAGAGAGAGAGATGGGGGGGGCAGCTAGCTGCTAGCCAGCCAGACATAAAAGGAGCAGGAACATAGGACATATAGAACGAAGAAACAAAAAAGCCCTGAGGCAAAACAGAGATGAAGAGAAATAGGTTAATTAAGTTATAAGAGCTGGTGGGACAAGAACAAGATAAGGCTGAGCATCCATGACTAGTAATAAGTCTCAGTGTCATGATTTGGGGGCTGGTGGTCTAAGAAAGCCTGATATACTCTCCGTCCCACTTAGAGAAAGTTTCTACTCAGGCCAGATAGAAAATGGCAACAACAGACCAAAGAAAGTTCCACTCAAGTCCAGCATGGTGAATCACTGAGTTTATTGGACTACTTACAGGCTCATGTGATCTCTTGTAGCACAGGTGGTTGCTGTGAAAGCTGAGTGTCCCCTTCAGTTAACCTACACATCCTGTAATACAGCACATCTTAGAGATCACATATAGTTACATGTGGGATATTCCTTTACACCGTATGAATATATGCTGCTGTGATTGGGTTAATAAAGAAGCTGACTGGCCAATGGCTGGAAAGGTAAGTGTAGGTGGGAGCACCACACTAAGGACACTGGGAAGAAGGGCAGAGTTAGAGGAGTCACCAGCAAGACACAGAAAGGAAGCAGGAGGTGCAAGATGAAAGAGAGGTAATGCCATGCAGCAGAATGTAGATTAATAAAAACAGGCTAATTTAAGTTGTAAGAGCTCATTGGTAGTAAGTCTGAGCTATTGGCCAAGCCTTTATAACTAATATTAAGTCTCTGTGTTGGTTATTTGGAAGCTGGCGGGCAGGAAATAAAAGTCCCCGTACATCTATGGCAAGACTCCATGCGGTAGAGGAGAGTGAGTGACTGGACTATTGGGTGAAGGTCTGATCACACCACTCACACTTGTGCTTACAACTGCTCTGATTTCAAGATGGTCACCCCAATTGTGCCTGGAGGACAGAGGGTTACTCCCCCATTCTATGTGGGAAGAGTAGGTCAGAGAAGTCTTTACTTTTGATATCAGGAATCCAAATAGTATGAAACCAGTAACTAACATGCATCTCCTTGTGTATTAATGAAAAAAAGCCAATAAGTGGTGGTGGCACATGTCTCTGTGAGTTCGAGGCTAGCCTCATCTACAGAGTGAGTTCTGTGACATCCAGGGCTATACAGAGATACCCTGTCTCAAAAAAACGAATAAAAGGCGGGCGTTGGTGGCACATGCCTTTAATCCCAGCACTTGGGAGGCAGAGGCAGGCAGATCTCTGTGAGTTTGAGGCCAGCCTAGTCTACAGAGCGAGTGCCAGGACAGCCTCCAAAGCTACACAGAGAAACCCTGTCTTGAAAAACAAAAATAAACCCCCAAAAAACAAAAAAACCAAAAAAGCAAAACCAAAAAAAGAAAAAAAAGAGAGAGAAGAAAGAAAGAAAGAAAGAAAGAAAGAAAGAAAGAAAGAAAGAAAGAAAGAAAGAAAACAGGAAAAGCCCCAAGATAACAATTTTATTCGAGCCGGGCGTTGGTGGCGCACGCCTTTAATCCCAGCACTTGGGAGGCAGAGGCAGGCGGATCTCTGTGAGTTCGAGGCCAGCCTGGTCTACAAAGTGAGCTCCAGAACAGCCTCCAAAGCTACAGAGAAACCCTGTCTCGAAAAACCAAAAAAAAAAAAAAAACAATTTTATTCGAAGGTCAGGGCTGGAGTCCCCTGCCTGCTGTTGGGGAGAACTTCAGAGGTAGAGGCAGGGAAGGCTCAGGAAAGAACAAAGGACGTAGTTCCAGGACTACAGTGCACATGTTCAAGTCCACAGCCTCACCTTTGCTGCTGACTCTGAGCCTTTGTACTCCTTTGTCAACAGGGGACAAAGGTCATTGCCAAGATTTGGGTCATGAGATCAATGTCGTGGGTTTATTTTGCAGATTACATGACAGTCTCTAAACAAGCCAGTTTTGGATTTGGAGCCTGGGGCAAGCACTCTTTAAGTGCCTTCCCTACACCAATGTATTCCCAAAACATCCTAAAGGGAGTTAGGTACTAAACTGAGCCTCTAAAAAGATGAGGAACGCTGGCTTGACACTTGGGAGACTGAAGCGGGTGGACTCTGTGAGTCCAAGGTCAGCAGGGGCTATGTGGTGAACCCTCTCAATAAATAAACATGACAATCAAAAAATTCTTTTTGGGAGAAAAAAGATGCGTACCCTGAAGTTCAGAGAAGCGCAGCACTGGCAGATGAGCATGAGGTAGCTGTGATTCTAGCCCAGGTGTGAATAGAGACTTTATTCATTTACTCATTTTATTCTTATTTGTTTGGTTTTGTTTTTGTTTTTCAAGGCAGGGTATCACTGTGTGGCACTGACTGTCCTAGAACTCATGCTGTAGACCAAGCTGGCCTTAAACTCACAGAGATCTGTAGGTGGAAGTATAACTGATACAGAGGCTTAATATTAATTACAAATGCTCAGCCAATAGCTCAGGCTGCTACCACCTAACTCTTACATTTAAGCTAACCCACATTTCTTATCTACGCTTTGCCACGTGACTCAGTTTGTTACCTCGCTTTCTACATGTCCTTCTTCCTTGCTGCCTGGTTGGCATCTCCCAGACTCCACCCTTCTCCTTCCCAGCACTCTCGGTTTGGCTCTCCTCCCTAACTTTATCCTGTTCAGTTATTGGTCAGTGAGCTTCTTTATTAAGCTAGTCACAGCTACAAGTCTTCATAATGTACACAGCAGAGATCCGCCTGCCTCAGCCTCCTAAATGCTGGGATTAAAGGCGTGTGCCACCACAACCGCAGAGACTCAAATCTTAAATTGTGAACTTCCTGACTGGGGTCTTCAAATGCAGCCAAGGGCCCCGGCCTGCACACATGCACATGATCACGTGATGTGAGGCATGCATCCGCCTTGCCAGTGCCCACACGCAGCACATCAAGTCAGTGTATCGAAAGCTCTGCGCAAGACACTGTGGTGGCACTTGCCTGCAATCCCAGCACGCAGAGGTCTGAGTGGGACGCTAGATCCAGGCCTGCCTGGGCTTCACAGCAAGACCCTGTCTCAAAAAACTGAAAAGAAAAACAACGAAACAGAGATACCATTCTAACAGAACTTCTGGCCAACAAGGCGGAGACTGTTTACCGGTGTGTCAGCAGCAGCCCTTTCAGCAACAGGCACTGAGGAGACCTGAGAGGGGAACAAAACAGTTTCAAGTAAATGCCCTGGACTGAAAGAGCAGCAGATTCCACTCAGCTGTCCCTGCAGTAAGGACCACAGGACAGTGAAGACATGGCCTGGCCTTTGCTTCTCTTGGGGAAAGCCGCTGAGCAAGGCTGAGACTGCGCATGCTAGCTGCATGTTGGCTGTCCTGATAAGGCTGACCCTGACCATCTGCCCAGAGTCCTGACATCTCCCTCAACTTCATGGATGCTGCAAAACTAGAGGGCAACTTTTGCAGTCTTGAAGTCAGACCCTGCTGGGGATCCAAGAGCCAACCTTAGACCCTGGGAGCTTCTGGAGGAGTAAGTGCCCCACAAGTGAGTGCCCCATGAGTGAGTGTCACTGGGGCAGGAATAGTGGTGGGAGAGATCCCGGCATGAGGCAGAAGTGCCACCAGAGAACGCTAGCCCTGGAGGTGGGCAGTGACAAGAGAGCAGTAACGGTGGTGGGCCGGGCCAAACGCGGACTTCGACACCGAGCAAGCGCTCAGGCGTCACGGGCTGCACACGGAGCACTCCATTCTCACTTTGCTCAGAGATGAGGCGGCAGTCTGAAGTGTAGTGTCAATGCCACTTGGGAAGGAGAGCAGAAGCAGCCAAGTCAGGAGTGTGGCCCTGCACAGGGAAGGCCGAAGTACTGGCAGGATCTGGCCATAAATGGGATGACATATTCTGAGTCCCGGATGGGTCTAATAGGGATCTTAGAACATACCATAACTGGGGGGTCCAATTTGTACGTGGAAGGCAGTTGACATGGGTGTCCAGCAGCAAAGCACCTGGGGCCAGAAAGACACAGAAGCTGTGCAGCCACCTCTGCACCGCCTCCTCAGCCAGGACACCTGCTGACGCTGTGCGGTCACTTGCTCGAGGTAGAGGGGCCAGAGCTGAGTCTCCAGACTCACGAGCTCCTCTACTGTTCCTCTTCCTGGAGGTGTACCCTGGGCAACCCTGTCCATGCATCCATGGGTACTTCCTCTTGTGGACTACCATAGGCTTTCTGTCATAACAATAATCAGTCCTCAGCATCTATGTCCTGTCTCCTCTGGGACTGCAGTGCTGAGGAGGCCAGGGACACATTTCCTAGCATAAGTCCCAGTCCAAGGCAGCCGTGTCCCCACATGAAAACCTGGAAGTACTTTTGGCTCTTCCCTTGATGCTCCTTCAAGCAGCCAGACCCGCTACCCGCCACACTCCGGACTCACGGGGCCATCCCCAGAGGCCCCCACTCTCTACAAACTTTCTGGCAGGTGTTTCTCAGCACTGGGGAGGAGGGCCACCACAAATGGTTCTTGTTCTCTTACTCTGTGTCCTACAGACCCTGGAGGCAAGAAGGTCCAGGGGATCAACACCCCTCAACCCAAACAAACTACAGGACTGGGAGGGCAGGGCGTCAAGTCGCCATCACCCAGAACAGAATCTCTTCCACAATACTATCCACCAGTCCTTGCTGCCCCTGGACCGCTATAGGAGAGTCTAACCTTTGGTGACAGTATGCCCCCGTCATTGTCAAAGTCCGGATCCAATAACAGACTCTTATTCTCCTTCCCTGGCACAGGAAGTGGGTCTCCTCCCCCTCCTCCAGTGCTGTCCGCCGTCCGTGTGCTCCAGAGAGCAGAACACAGTCAGCTGGGGCTAACGGTATCACCACCACCTTTCCAAGGCGGAAGGAAGGCCTTATAAAACTCTTAGGTCTTCCATCCCCTCGTCCACAATTTAGCTTCCAGTTACATTGTCCCCTAGCTTCGGAAGCTGCGTTCCTTCCGCCTGGGGGCATCTTTGCTGACCTGCAGCTCACCCACACCTTCCTAGATCAGCCACTCCTGCCTGCACAACCCAGGGGCAGAACCAACGGGAGTTTCACATCAATAACCGGTCTTCCAGGGAACCCCAGCCCAAAGACCCGGGGTACCAAAAGCCTGTGCTCCCATGGCAGGGAGCTGTCCAAACATCAGGAAGAGGGAGGGGTCCAAGGAAAGAGGCTGGCGCTGGTAGCCCACGGCTAAGATTTGGGGGAGCAAGTGGGGAGAGCTGTGTAGAGAACGTCCGGGTGGAACCACTGGGAAGGGGACGCGTGCGCGGAGGGGCGCGGATCTGCGAGGACCAGAGCGACAAGTGTGGCCTGGGGAGCGCGGCGGAAACTTGGGTGAAAGGCGCGGGCGGAGGTCGCGAACACGTGAGTGGGTTCAGCGAGGTGACAGCGCGCGTCTCTTTCCCCACCCGACCCACTCACCTGGACCCGCCGCTCCCGGACGCCCGTCAGGCAGCCCCAGCCCTCTCTCTGGCTTCTCATAGCCGTTCGCGCTGAGGGTCTCTGGCGCCTTGTTTTGTTTGCCTGTCACTGTGCCACTTAGTAGGTATCCGCCCAGGAAGTGATGTCACGGGGGGGGCAAACGGGACCCCCAGGCAGTCGCCATGTTTTTAAAGGGAACGCACAGCTACGCGCTGCGTCTGACAGTGCTCTTGGCGCCATGTTGCTTCTGGGCGGAAGTAGCTTATCAAGGGCTCTGCCTCTTTAAAGGAACAGAGACGTTTGCAACCTTGGGAAATACATTTGGGGTCGCCGGCTATTCGTCGAAGCAGCGCAGTTCTCCGCTGAAGCAGGTCAGTACCTGGTCACGGTGCGAGGCTCCGCCAAGGTCGTGTGTGGAAGCCGGCTGGTTCTCCAAAGGATTCCGAGTGCTGTTGGCCTTGATGCATGTGCTGTTGCTGCTTGTGTGTGATGTGTAGCTTCGCTGGGAGAGCTGGTTCCCAGGGGAAAAGCTTGCGCGCGCCGTTTCAACTCTACACTCAGCCATGGGCCAGTCAGGCTAGCTCTCTCTGCACCCACATCCACTCGCCCAAGGTAGGACTGGCCAAGAAAGGTGAATACTGCGGTTACGGAGAATTCCCGGCGGAGATGACGCCTGTAATAGTGTAGGTGGATTCTTCGAACGATTTCCAGGCTGACAGTAGTCGTGGCAGTTGGGTTAAAGTAGTAATGTGGGACAATTTCCAAGATAATTTAGGTGTAAAAAAAGAAATCCTTATGGGACAGAAAGAGTAGTCTCAATCCTGCTGCCGTTCGAGTGTTCGCGTGCACGCATGCCAACTTTCTACTAATAAGCACACGTTGTTAACGGATGGAGTGGCACAAGGGAACGGAGGTTCTGGGTACCTGACAGGCGAGGAATTTTACTACTGTGCGCACGGTCTGAGTCTTCAAAAGAAAAGGATCAAATTACCCGCTGAGCCAGTGCCTAGGTTCGGGTCTCCTCCTAAAGGTCTTGTTGCCTCCCTTTAATAAAGGAAGAAACAGGCTAGGGGAAGTTAAAGGATTTAGTTGGGGTCTTACAGCCAGCATGGGAAGAAGGAGCTGGAATTTGAGTACAGGGTCTTCTAGCCTTCTTTAGCTAGACAGGCAGCGTGAATTGTTGGACAAACGCAGCAGACAGGAAGGCTAGCCGAAGGAGAGGGTGAACAGTGGCAGAGTCCAGGATAAAATCCAAGGTTCACTGTCCTTTTCCACCCCGGACTCGGTAGACCTGGATCGTCATACATTTACAAGTATGACCACAACGGTAGGCACCGAGTGCCCCTCCCCCATACACATCAATCCTGTTTACCGGTGGATGAGGCAGAGTTTGGAAAGTTGATTCCCACAGGCCCTCACTCCCCTCCCACCCACCCACAGGAGGCTTTGAGTCCACCAGGTCTCTTCCTCTGCTTCCTGGGAGCATCAGCCTCTGGTAGTTCAAAGTACACGCAGTAGCTTAGGGCTGAACAGACCTGGACTGTGCCATCCTATGATTCTGTGACAGCAGCCAACAACTCAGCAGTCAGCTCCTGTGTCGAAAACCTTTGCGGGACTAGAGAGGTATCAGAGGTTTAGAGCACTGACTGCTCTTCCAGAGGACCTGAGTTCAAATCCCAGCACCCACATGGTGGCTCACAGACATCTGTAATCAGATGTGGTATCCTAGCCTGGGGACATACCTGCAGGCAGAACACTGTATACATAACGAATAAACAAATCTTAAAAAAAGAAAGAAAAGAAAACCTTTGCCTAGGACAAAGGACCAGACTGGGTGGAGTCAGAGGGGACTTCTCCTAGATAGAGAAGTGTTTGGAGTAACTGCCCAGCACTCCCGGAGGGCCCTAAGTGATGTGTTAAGTGCACGTCGTCAGAGCAAGTGCAGGTTGGACACTCCAGTCTAGCATCTATGCACACCATTCTTTACGGCCAAACCTCAACCCCACCTGCCACTGCACCTCACCCCCTAACTTCAAGACCTGGTTCTTGATTGCTAATCCAGATGGGGGCCACAGAAGACCACAGGAGGCTTCATAGCAATGACACACTCTTTTGTTTTGTTTTTTGGTTTTACGAGACAGGGTTTCTCTGTATTGTTTTGGAGGCTGTCGGTCCAGTCTGGCCTCAAACTCACAGAGATCCGCCTGCCTCTGCCTCCCGAGTGCTGGGATTAAAGGCGTGCGCCACCACTGCCCAGCAGCAATGACACACTCTTTACCTTGCCCACCTGCAGGGACTTTGTAGTCTGTCCCAGAGCAGCAGTCCTGGTGCTGCAAATAAGTGTCTCATCTCAGGACAAGGGGCTCTTGTCTTCCTGGTTGTTTTCATCGGCTGAGTTCTCAAATTGCCAAGGAACAGGGACACCTAAGCTATCAAGAAAAGGCCTGCTCCTGCCTCTGTGGCCACCAGGCCAAATCACCTCAGCTTAGCAGTAGAGGGATTCATTAGGCCTGTCCCAGCAGACATTGGGCCAGGCAGCCCCTGAAAGTTTCATACCTCCTTACCCAGGGGAGGAAGCATTATCTGGGAACTTCCTGTCCTTAGCTGAGGCCAGCTTTGGGTAAAGTCATTTCCCTGACCCAACCCTCAGTTTCTCTACCTAGAAAATTAGTAGGCTGTTCTCCAAGGTTCCTACTGGGCCCCTACTTCCCTGTTTTGTAGAACTGCCCAGGGAGTGAGATTTCAGTGTTGGATCTGCATCCTTACAAAGGGAACGAGAAACAAGCTGCCTGCTATTTGTCATACCTGGGACTGCCACCAACCCATGTGGGCTGAGGACCTTCAGTCACTCCTTCTCAGCCCATTCCAAGGTCAAGGGCCTAGGTCTCCATCCTTGCAATACATAGCTCTTGGGTCAGCACTTCCCTTAGGAACATTTATATTATGGGGCCTCTTTTTTACTGTTTAAAAAGGGGGGACTAGGCCAGGCACTTGCACTTGGGAGGCAGAGGCAGGCAGATCTCTGTGAGTTCAAGGCCAGCCTGGTCTACAGAGTGAGTTTCAGGACTGCCAAAAGGTGGGGGGCTGGATTTATTATTGAACGAGAGACTTTTGGGGGGAGGTCTTGTGTTATGAAATAGATTTTAAAACATTTATTTTTAATAATTTATGATTGTCTCATTGTGTGTGTGTATGTGTGTGTGTGTGTGTGTGTGTGTGTGTGTGTGAGTACAGATGCCTGTGGAGGCCAGAGGCATCAGATCTCCCTGAAAGCTGTAGTTACAGGTAGTGTAAGCCACCTGATATAGGTACTGAGATCAAATTTAGGTTCACTACAAAAGCAGTATGGCTCTTAACCACTGAGCCATCTCCCTAGCCCTGTGAGATAGGTTTTTGTGGAAAGCTTGTGGTAATTGGTTTGTTTGTTTGTTTGTTTTTTTAAGACAGGGTTTCCATGTGGCTTTGGAGGCTGTCCTGGAACTAGCTCTTGTAGACCAGGCTGGTCTGGAACTCACAGAGATCCGTCTGCCTCTGCCTCCCGAGTGCTGGGATTAAAGGCGTGCGCCACCAACGCCTGGCTCAGTAATTGGTTTCTTGCTAACTGTGAGTTACTGCATGTATACAAGGAGCACAGAATGACATGGGTTTAGACTACAGTTTGGTTAGTTTATCTGTAGTGCTGGGAATCGAGTCCAGGCCCTTGAACTTGCTGTGCTGATTCTCCGTCATTCTACAGGTGGTAAACTGAGCCCATAGTTGTACCCTAGGGACCCAGGTTCCATAGCTAGTGTGAGGGTGGAGCTGGGTCATTTCATCTAAGGCCAAACTTTACTTTTTTTCTCCTTGTCATGGAATAGGGACAGGTCTTAACCAAGGGTGACATTCCTTCTGCTCCTGTTCTTTGTGGAAACCATGGTCAGTATTTTCTCAGTGAGTGGTCATCTCCTGACTGTTTGAGCTGAGCAAAGAATGCAAACATTCTTCAAGGAAACCAGAACATTTGAGAGAAGAGTTGGGACATTGGGAAATGGTGAGCAGAGAGTGGTATGAGCCCTAACTCAGGCATCCATGGTTCAGTTGTTCTTTATGCTCTGGAGGGAAATAGGGCAACAGCATCTCAGTGGCAGTGATCCTGATGCAGGGCTGGTCCTGATGCTGCAGCACTGGTCCTGATGCTGCAGCACTGGTCCTGATGCTGCAATGCTGGTCCTGATGCAACACTGGTCCTGATGCAGAGCTGGTCCTGCTGCAGTGCTGGTCCTGCTCCTTCCCAGACAACAGGCCAGTTAAATAGAGGGAAGTTTTGAGGCAAAGGTGATGCTTTTTTTGTCTAGATAATTTTTAAAATTTATTCATGTATTTTATTTTTTAAGAAAAGGTCAAGCCGGGCGTTGGTGGCGCACGCCTTTAATCCCAGCACTTGGGAGGCAGAGGCAGGCGGATCTCTGTGTGAGTTCGAGGCCAACCTGATCTACAAGAGCTAGTTCCAGGACAGCCTCCAAAGCCACAAAGAAACCCTGTCTCGAAAAACCAAAAAAAAAAAAAGGTCTCAGCTGTGTAACCCTGGCTGTCCTGAAACTCCCTATGTGGACCAGGCTGGCCTCAAACTCACAGAGATTCCCCCTGCCTCTCCCTGTTGAGTTCAGGGATTAAAGGCATGTGCCACCATGCCTGATGTGATGTTTCTCTCTTTCTCTCTTTTATAATATGTATGAGTATTTTTGCCTGAATATGTACCCCACGTGTGTAGTGCCATTGCAGGCTAGACAGGGCCTTGGATCCCCTAGGGCTGGAATTAGAGATGGTTGTGAGGCACCATGTTGATGCTGGAAGTCAAACCGAGTCCTATGAAAGAGTAACCACTGACAGAGCTGTCTCTCCAGCCCCGTGACTGACTGACTTTGTTTGCTTATTCTTTATTTATTTTGGGTTTTTGTGTGTATGTGTTGTTTTGTTTTGGCTTTGGCTTTTAGAAACAGGGTTTCTCTGTAGCACACACACACACATCCATGCATTACTCCTGGGCACAAGTGAGCATGCACATTGTTTTTGTTTGTTTTTGTTTTTCGAGACAGGGTTTCTCTGTGGCTTTGGAGGCTGTCCTGGAACTAGCTCTTGTAGACCAGGCTGCTCTTGAACTCAC